AGCTGGAAAGGAGAAGCTGGATGGAAGTGAAGAGCAGCAGCCCCAGGGAGCCAGAAAGAAGCAGATCCATTGGGCTGAGCAGCAGCAGCCCCGCTGCTGCAGGCAGGAGAACCCTGGCAGAGCCCAGTGCCCAGCAGTGGGTGCCTGCGGGCAGGACACATCGCCGGGCAGCCCCACAGCCGTGCAGGGCAGTACGGTGTGTGCGCAAGGCCTGCGCCTGGCTCTGGCACTGCCTGAAGGCCTGCTGGAGACCCTGCTGATGGCCCCCCTCTGAAAGTCTCTCTTCCTCCCTACGGGCCTGTGTCTTGGCCGTGGAGAAACCGCCTGACGTGCTAGCTGAGCAATTATCCCGGGAGATCCAGCGATTCAAAGAGGACATGTCCGACTCCTCACCCGTACGGACCGGTATCTCAGCCATTAGACGTACACGTCCCTCTGCTCAAGAGAGAGCACGTAGTGGATACACACCACGGGCCGCTCCGTGGTCTTACCTGCGTGACCACGGAGAGGACATGAGGAAGCGGGATGGAAAATCTACCTCGACCCTAGAGGCACGGGTACCTGAGTTGCAAGGAAACGGGAAAACTGTTGCTCTGGTTTCCAGCGAGCAGTTCCCCAGCCAGAGTAGAAGGGCTGATTCTGTTTCCGATCTTAATAAAGGGATTTTTGACTCGCATTTACAAGAAGCGAGTAACGAATGCTATGACCAGGACTAGCGGGGCCCTGCCTCCAGCCAGGTGGAGGAAAGGGACAACCGGGTGTAGCGGACTCTGTGGCTTCCATGGCCTGGCACATCAGCCCCACAGGAGTATACGGCTTTAGTGGACACCGGTGCACAGTGTACCCTCACGTCATCAAGCTATGAAGGGGCAGAACCCAACTGTATTTCTGGAGTGACAGGGGGATCCCAACAGCTGACTGTATTGGAGGCCGAAGTGAGCCTAACCGGGAATGAGTGGCAGAAGCACCCCATTGTGAGTGGCCCAGAGGCTCCGTGCATCCTTGGCATAGACTGCCTCAAGAGAAGGTATTTCAAGGACCCAAAAGGGTACTGGTGGGCTTTCAGCGTAGCTGCCTTGGAGGCGGAG